CCGCACACACGGCTCCCCACGCCTGGCCTCGCCAGTGTGGCCAGAGCCAGGGAGCAGCCTACCGCCCTCAGCACAGCTGTGTCAGCCCAAGAAGCTCCCAAAGCCCTACTTCACTGCACCCCTCTGGCTCACTGTCTTCCCTCTGCTGTGCTTGCAGCCTGTGGGCCCTATCCCCAGGTGGTGGGGTGGGCAGTCTCCTGCACCCCGGCACCCACGGGCCCTGCCACTAGAGCCAGCAGGTGTGTGGCAGTGTCTTCTGGGTGATGCTGTGGACAGCACAACAATCCAGCTTGTCCTTTCTGCCCTCAGAGCTCTGCACGAGTGAGGGGTGAGGGAAAAAGTGTATTCTTTGAACGCCATCTCAAATCACAGCAGAGAGGAGAGGAAAGCTCCACTGGATGACCCGGTGACAGTGGATGAGGGTCTCACGCCCACGCATCTTGGCAGGGTCTGATCAGATTCTAGTTTTGTTTCCACCTCGTTCCTGCAAAGGACTACATCAGTGAGTCTGAACCTCTAGCTACCGGCCCCGCTTGCTTCCTTCACAGTTATCATACTCTAGGAGGTTATGTTTCATGCTGGGCTCTAATAGGAGAAGAAAAACTCTGGCGGGGTGTGGCCAAGATCTGCTCACAGCTGTTTCAACCAACAGCCAGCAGAGTCCAGCTCAGAGGGGTGCTCGGGGAGTATCCGCTCAGTGATTCCCAGAGATGGGTGCGGTACCCGAGGGCTGGCAGATCTGGGGAGGGGAGCTAAGAGCGGGAGAACCCAGTTAGGAAGCAGACAGTCCCGACTGGGAGGAGAGCGGTGGTCTGGAAACAGCCCCAGCAGCCGCAGTCTCTGACTGGCCCTCACAGTGCAATGCTCAGGGACTGCGAAGCACCCGGGTGACGAAATCCAGCAGCCAGGAGCTGGTCCATGGCCGGATCTGACCCGTCCAGGGCTCCTGGAGTCTTCCTTCTTTGTAGACACCTCCCCTTCTTAGGTCAGGAATGTGGGTTAGACTGCTGGCTGCTAAAACTCCCTAACAGAGAGATCCTGCTGGGCATGGTGGCACACACTTATAATCCAGCACTTGGGAGGCTGAGGTCGGAGGACTGCTGCAAGTTTGAAGCCAGTCGGGACTATACAGTGAGATCATATCTCACAAAAAACAAAACTCAAAAAATCCAAAAACAAAAAAACCAGAAAGTTCACCTATTCTTGTAATTCACATATTTATGCATTTATTGTATTTCAAGAAAATACATAATACAGAGCATTTTAAAATCAATGAGGAAAATGGCAATATTCAATATTCAATATACGATGGAGAGGCAAGTGGTTTTCTAATTATTTAAAAGGAAGTTATGCTCCTAACTTGTGCCATAAGAAAGTTCTAAGGTGTAACATGTAGAGCAAAATTATGGATGTCACAGAAAAAAGTACTGAGACTTTCCTCTGTAAATCTGGGGTAAGGGATGGCCTTCCAAAGTGAAAGAAGCCCCCTCATTCTCCAGTGTGCACGAGGGAAGTTCTGGGGATCTGCTCTCAGCTCTGGCCACAAATAGCACCAATGTGCATGGAGCCCCGCAAGGCGTCTCGCTGGCCACACAGAAGCCATGCTGGTGCGCGCAACTTCACAACTCACAACAACTAAGTTAATCATAACTTCTGACACCAAAGGCTGAATGCAAAAAAACTGTTTTCATCTTTTTTTCCAAAGCAAATATGCTAAAGTAAATTTTTGCCAACATATCTCATCAGTTCTGAAATACACGGCTTTGGGAAAGAAATCAGTTCAGTGAAAATCAATGCATTTGCAGGCCTGCCAAACAGCTCAGAGGATTAAAGCACCTGCTTAGGCAGATGCAGGGGCCAGGGGTTTGATCCCCGGGCTTGCATGCTGGCCCTGCCCCCGGGGTGCGCTGAGACAGTGACTGAGACTGGGTGCAGTGGTGTGTGCCTGTAATCCCAGCACCTGGGAGGCTGTAAACAGGAGGATCACTACGAGTCTGATTTACACGGTATGACCCTGTAGACCCTGTACTAAATACATTAAAAAAAAAAAAAAAATTCAGTGCATTTGCAACAATGACTCCCAAACAATGGGGGAACCAATTTCAAACAGATAATAACCCCCCAACAGGACAGAGCAGAAATGGAGCACTGCAACTCGTTACTTGTTAAGTTTTCCTTTCTCATAACTTTACGCATTGGAGCGCTGAGGTTCAGCATCCAACTATCAGAGCTGTCTAGGAGAAGTGCAGGCAGGCAATGTTCCAGGTGATGTGGCCTGACGTAACGACAGGCTGAAGGATGAAGGAGGATACAACGGCCTGGAATCGGGCTGCAGTAGAGGCTCCAGATTTGGCACTGAATAAAACGTACAATTAACTAGCTGCCGGATGACAGACTTTCTCAGCCAATGGGACGTCCCCCCACCCCAGCCCAGCACTATACATGGGCACCTTCTCAGCCAAGCAGTGTGACCTACCTGTTCTCACACCAGCTTGCCCCCATTGATATTTTAACTGAGTCCTCATCGCTAGAACTTTCTTGCATGTGAACGCACATGCTGACTTCTAATCTGCATAAGGGCACTGGAGCATTGTTACATGTTTACCAAAAACTCAAAACGTCATGCGAATGATACAATAAACACTACACATAAGTGTCCTAACCCATCTCCCACAGGGTGCCTGCTCATATAAAGTTCTTATCATCTGGGCCTTAGAAGGCAACAGATCCCTCGCACTGTTGGAACTCTAATCCAGGACATGCCATAGAGAACACTCTTCACTGCTCCTGGGTCTGCTGCCTCGGAAGGCGGCTCCCTAGTGCCCCGAGCTGGGGATGACGCCTGCTCAGTGGTGTGCACACTCACCATGTGGACCACCTCTGGGTAGATGGGCTCCGTGATCACATTCCGGTTGTGGGTGATGTACTCCACCATCTCACTTAGAGCAGCCCGTTTCACTTCCTTCCACTTGAGGTCACTCAGTGGGTCAGAAACAAAGTCAAAGAGGACGCAGCACTGACGTAACTTCTGGGTAAAGAGCTTCTCTTGATCCGCAGGAGGAACATCTGAAAGTCAAAGAGCAAAGCACTTTAGTTGCCAAAATGCCTAACCAAAGGCACTGTGGAACATGGAAGTATGTGTTTTTGTTTATTTTATAGTACTCGGATTGAATCCGGAGCACTGAGATATATCCCCAGCCTTTGTTAACTTTTTAAAATTTTGAGACGAGGTCTTGCTGAGGTGCCAAGCTGGCTTTGAACTCTCATCCTTGCTATCTCTGTCTCCCCAGTGCTGTGATTACAGGTGTGTCCCACCACTCCTGGCTCTTCTGTTATTTTTATTTATTTTGTAGAACCAGGGATTGAACTCAGGCCCTTGTGCATGCCAGGCAAGCACTTACTCTACTGAGCCATCTCCCAGCCCCCCTTCTGTTTTTATTGTGAATTAATAAGAGTTTAACAAAAAAGGGACGGGTAGGAGTGAATGAGGTCAAATATTCCTTAAATGCAGAAGAGAAAAAAAAAAAAAAAAAAAAAGCTAGTCACTGCTCAGATTACAAGGTTAGTATGGTAAAGTATGTTTTTGTTTTTTGCTCTTTCAAACCACATCAAGAATGAAGTTCAAAATACATTTTTCCTCAGTCCAGTCATTCAGTGAACGCTTCCTGGGCAGCAGCAGTAGTGCGCAAGACGCAGTGCTAGGTGAACAGATGTGCCAGCCAGTGACACTGCCTGGGTCTGGGCGAGGGTCTGGGCCAGTGATGGGGAATCTGTCACCGCGCTCAGTGATAAACAACAGCCGCGGTGGCTCAGGTGCCACAGGTCCCCCCACTGGAGAGGACGCTCTGGCAGCATGGGGTGGCTGCAACATACAGGGCAGGAACAGTGATGCTCAGGGCAGACGGCCCACGCGGTTGTCGCCTAGGCCTCTGCCTGCAGATTGCGGGAACCCACTCTTACAGACCTCCAGAGTGACCCCTTCAGTGCTCACCATCTCGTGCCAAAACAAGTCACTTGTGCTAACTGCTCAAGACAGCTGCAACACGGAAGCTGCAGCAGTGAGGACAGGTACAGCGTACCTCGGCCAGACAGCAGTAAGGAAACAAATACGTGTAGGAGCTCCTTGTATGGCCAGCAAACAAGGAAGCTGGATTAAAACTAAGTTTTGTATGGCTGCCCAGTATTCTGGGAATTTTGGGCAACTTCTATCTGCCCATGGGAACCCAACAGGGCTGACAAGCTTAGTGGTGGTGACAGTGGGATTTATTGATACACATACCAAAACGTGTCAAAGGTTTGCAAAAATACACTTTCATGTACTTAATAAATGACGTTAGACTACCACTCAAGGGCAAAAGACTGGGTGTATACTCCATTCACACCGTCAGACCGACCACTGGATTTAATGGAATAAAATGGACAGACAGCTCAATAATCTGGTTTCAGATTTCACACTGCAGATTCCTTTAAGAAATTGATCACTTTTAAAGTTTTGGTGCAGTAATCAAAGAAAATGTCCACAACTCTCTGGAAGGGCCATTAAAATACTCCTCCCCTTCCCACCACTTCTGTCTACACTCAACCAAATGACATACGGCCGAAGCCTGAATGGAGAACTAGACAGGAGGCCCAGCTACCTCCTCATATGCCAGGCACTCCAAGGACTTGCCAAAAATAAAGCCATGTTACTCTTCTCACTAAAGTTGTTACTGTTTTTAAAAACATGTCTACTTTCATAAAAAGGTTAACTGCTGTTAACATGTACAGGTTTGCTACCTTTTAGATTTTATTAGTATACACCCGCACTACAACACGATCGCATTCCTGGCGGAGAGTCCCTCCGTGCAAATAACACACCTCAATTCTTCTCTTATGAATATGAGCATGTTAAATACTTTCTCTGGTTGAATTGAAGATGGCCAGTATTAGCAGCTAGACTCATGAACAGAAGCTCCCTAGGGCCCTACCATGTTTCAGAAATGTGAGGGAGCCTGAGCTGCCGAAGCTAGCCTCGCCCCAGGGAGTGTTCCAGAGTACTGGGCTGCTTCACTTCTCTGCTCAGCCCACGGTGCTCCCACTTCCACCTCTCCATCCCTCCTAAATGCCAGCTTCTCATTCAGGTTTCTTCTGCAAGGCCTTCCCTTATTCCTTGTTTGATAAGACCACTTGGAGCTGAGCACTTCCACTCGGTATCATTTCAACAGCTAGGGAGCCTGCTAAGTAGTTCTGAGCTCCCCAACTGGACGAGCTGAGAGGGAGGTGGCGTGTGGTAATACTGTTCTCTGAATCCCTTAGTTAGCCCTGCAAACAGCAGGCACATAGATACTGCTACCCGAACTGACCTGCAGCGTGGGGGACTGTGGTTTCCTTGCTTGCTACACCGGACGCAGAGATAAGCAGTATACAGCAGCACAGCAGGGTTGGGAACACTGCCTACAGGACGCTTAAGAGAGCCAGGCCAGAGACTGTTCCACCATTTACCCAGTGACCATCACTACAACACCCATCCAGATATCCGCCCCTTGCATGGACGGCACTCATCTTCTGAATTACCTCTTTGCCTGCCTCTGATCCTCCTCAGTTCTACACCTTTGCTCCTGCTTCAGCTTGCCAGGAGCTCATTACCCGGCGCCTGTTCATTGTCGCAGTGTGTATTTGGAACCTGCCTCTGGTATTCCCACCCCCTCAGCAGCACCAGGACCAGAAGCCCACAGGAGATGAGAAACCAGACAGTGTCAGATGCTCAAGAGGCCCGGCGAGGCTCCCAGAGCTCCAGGGGCCTCGAAAGCGGTCTTTCCCTTTTAGACACAGTATAATAACCGAGAAGAACAAAGGGCACCAAAACACATCTACTGTGACTAAGAAGGGAGAAGAGAAAAAAAACCTCTCACCCAAAATTATTTCTAGAAGTCCAATGCGCTATCCACTGCGCCACGGAGCCACCTCCAAAATTATTTCTAAAAAGCAAACAACTTTCAACTCCCTGGAAGAGTTGTGTTAATTCCTCCTGGGTTCCAGGCAGCTAAAGTACTGTACTGTTTTGTTTATAGTCTACAGATGGGTTCGTTATGATAAGCTAATGAGCTCTTTTAAGAAATCTCACATTGCTATTTAGAATACTTTACTGTTTTTTTAAAAAACAAAAATGGTATACAAAAGTGAAAAAAATCCTGTATCTTCAGGCTTTATCAATTTTTTCTGTATTTTTAAAATGCAAGTTGATCTGAGCTTTTTCCTGATCAGTGTATTTTTTGTTTTTGTTTTTGTTTTTGTTTTGGTCTTTTTGAGACAGGGTTTCACTATGCAGTTCAGGCTGTCCTTGAACTCGCTTTGTAGCCCAGTGACTGGACTCAAACTTGCAACAATCCTCCTGCCTCAGTCTCCCGAGTACTGGCATTACATGCATGGGCCACTACTGCCCAACACTGACCAGTACATTTTACTTAAAAAATCTTATTTTCTGCTGTGTTAATAGGGAAATAAGGGCCGGCCCAACAGCTCAGCGGATTAAAGCGCCTGCAAGCAGGCAGAGGGGGTGGCGGGGATGGGGGGATGTCAATCCTCCAGCCTGCTGTGCCAACCCTGCCCCTGGGGCATGCTGAGATGCCAAATGAGACTGGGCATGGTGGTGAGTGCCTGAAATCCCAGCTCTTGGGAGGCTGTAAACAGGTGAATCACTAAAGTCTGATCTAGTAGTGAGACCCTGAACACACTTCCCTAAAATCTGAAAAAAAAAAAAAAAAATGGGTAGAGGTTGTATGGATTCTAATTTCTTAATAGTGTAAATGTTTTTTTAAAATTTATTTATTTATTTGTGTGTGTGTGTGTGTGTGGCCAGCTCAGCCCACCAGGGGGCGGGGCTGGCTGGCATGTGGTGCTGGGGGATTGAACCG